GATTAGAGAATGAAAAACAAGCATTTGTTTATTCAAAAGCAAACATTTACTGAGTACTTAAAATAAGGCAGAACTGTTATAGGCATGTGGAGACAGAAGACAATAAAACACACACAAATTTCTGCCTTCATGAAGGAAGAGAAAAATCATCTCCTCTCCTTTGCTGTAATCCAAGCTAGAACTTGTGGCACCTGCCAACCCCAGGGGCCGCATGGGGCTTCGAGGAAGGTCCCTCCCAGCGAGCCCAAGGAACAGCCTCAGTCTCCCTCTCTTGTCCTGCATGGAGTTCCCAACTCACCTCACTTTGGACAGAGAAGTTAACTTTCTGCTTTCCAAACTGGTCTATTGTTTTTGGACACAATATAAAATGTAATTTTGTGGTTTATAGTTACTTGAACAATTGCTCCGACGGGGCTTAATGATAAAATATCAAGTGATTGTCTGTTCCCATTAAGTACATTCTTTCTAAACTGAAACCCAGCAATCAGGGACAGCCCAATCAGTCAAGACAGACTCATGACCAATGCTTTGGGATCTCCTGGGGGCAGGTTTTAGAATTAAGATTCAGGAAAGTGCTTTGAATCTTAGAGAACAACTTTAAGAAATGAAAATGTTCCCTGTCTCTCCTCATTTATTCAATTCTTGTTCTAATCACACAAATGGATGGTAACCAAAGACCGGATCATTACAGAGCAGGAAGTATATAACTGGTGGTTTTTATATGCTCATAAGGCATATTAGGCAGGGTGGGATATTTAAAAAAAGAGCTTGCAATCAAATTGAAATCAGCAAACACAAAGTGAACCCCAATAATGCAAGAAAGCAGGTAATTAAGCGACGGTTTGCTCAGTACAACTGATACACCCAACAGGGGATCAGAAAAGACCAGGCTTCATAAGGCAGAATAACCTTTCAACAAAGGAGAGATCAGCATAACGCTTGGCTGAAGGAAGAACTGGCTGAAGGAAGAATCATGCAAATGTGGAGTGGAGAAGCTCATCTGACTGGAGTAGGGTTTGTGTTTTGAAGAGAAGTGGCATGTGATGCCGAAAATGGAAGTAATTATCAAAGGACCAGATGACTGAGAAGACTTCACACTAGGTAGAATCTATGAGGGAAAGCCAAAGAACATTTGGTGGGAATGAGTCAAATGTTGAAAACAGTGTTTACACAAGTTTATTTTGGTGGTGGTGGTGGTCAAAGTCAACCGCAATGTGACCAGCCAGTCACAGAGAAAAATATTACATTGTGTCTCCATATAACACAGTACATTGTCTAGACCCTAGAGAACCCCTGCAGGTTATCTGATTGTGGTTTTATAGGAGTATTTTACAACTGCTGCAATTCCATAAGCTGTAGGTAAATGACAGTAATGCATTTTGTGTGTGTGTGTGTGTGTAATTTTACTCAATTTGTACATTCATTTCAATATTCCTGACCTATCAGTGAATCTGCTCTTCGGATTTTCCTTGAGAATTGGTTATAGCATCTGCTTGGCTCCTCATGGATTGGTAAGTATTAACAGAAAAAATTACTAACGCATATTCATTTCATATCTGTATAAAAGTCAGGATTTTGTCTTTTTATGAAAGTTACTGTCTTTTAACACAAACTAGAAGATAAAGTCAAGTCATGGTGCAGACATGAGTACCTCAACAGAGGTCAGTATCATTGCAAATGAAGAGGAGGGAGAACACCAGATTCTTCAAAGAAAATGATGGTCAAGACATGGTGACTGACTAGGTACTCTGAATTCGTCCATTGTGGTCTCTTAATACTTGCCATTCATCATTGGTGCTCACGCTCTCAAAGTTAACAGATCCTTCTATAACAGGTGAAACATGCATGGGTGCCTGATGCAGGAAGAGATGTGAAGCAGCTCAAGCAACTGAGGCTCCCTCAACATGGCCTCCTTTTGCAACCTTTCCTTCTCCTCATGGGCAGCTGACTTCCTACAATTTATTTCAAATACCAGCCTTTCTACCTGTGACTTCTCTCCTTCAACCTTCTCTGAGGAACGTAGGGTGAGAAAAACAAGGGTAATTTAACATGTTTAAAAGGTATTTCCTTTCATTCTGCCAAGCCACAATTTAAAGGAGAAAACTAAAAAATAAGCAGAAGAGAAAATACTGTCAGGAAAAAGATAAAAAGTGGAGTTACCTTGGGTATGCACCCATTTGATTAATCTACATGTGGACAATTGGGAATTGATTCTGATGATAACTATGACTTTTCCTATTCGTAAAAGCCAAATAAAAGAAAACCAGATATTTTTATCTTTTAAGTTATCTGTACATATAATATGTTTTTGGTTTGATACACAAAATACAGCATGTGGTAAATTGAAGATAACATTACACTCATATTTAAGCAAACAAACTTACAAATATATCTACCAATTTTGTTGTGTAAAGCAGGATAAAGCCTGAGAATATGACCATAAAGGCTGGATTTGAACATTCTTAGGCATACATCCTGATTTCAATAAAACAACTCATTTGTAGTGCTTTTAAAGTTTCCAAACATGTCCACATAGGGCATTATACTCAATTCTAATCTTGTAAATCAAAGTTCCCATTTCACATAGGAGCAAGTTAAGGCTGAGAGGATGAATTGCCTGTCGAAGTGGACACAACTGGCTGTTAAGAGCTGGAATTCAAATCCAGAGAAACCTCACATTCAATTAACCTTTCATTAACCAGAAAAGGCAAGTCATTTGCGTACTATACTTAGTCGGGGTATTTTGAGTGGTAGAGTACATCTATTCATTAGTACTGTTTCCCATTTCCAAATGAACTCTCAGTGGCTGGTCTCAAGAATGTTTTTCATAGCTCCTGGATCTAGATTAGTCAAAAGATAAGAATATTAACAAGACTATAAAATCCACAGAATAAAGCCCCAACCTCTGAAGACTAGATGACTAATGACTCATGCCCCAGTTAACGGCCAAACCCTTGCCATTTATGGTCACGAGATTGCCACGTAACAAGCCACTGAGTTTTGGGATGACTTGTTATGCAGCAATATTGTGGCCTTAGATAACTGATACACACTGCTTCTGTTAGGCACACTACCAACTTGCCTTTGATCTCTCAACATATCCCTCTTGCAAGAAGGAGTAATTTGCATGATTCAGTCATCCATCTTTAGGAAACTAAACCCTGACATGCTAAATGTAGCAAATCAATAAGGCCTCAGCATAGTGTAGTATAAATAAATCTCTTTCAAAAAAATTTTTTAAAAACACATCTCTCTTTGACTACAACCCAGAATATAAATAAATAAAAATTTAAAAATATATTTCTCTTTGACTATAGCCCTTTCACCTGATTTGGTTCCCCCCCCCCCTACAATGCAACCACCAAGCAATCTGATCATTAAAAGGTGTTCACACATTTCTTGCTAAAATCAATTTCCAGGGTAATAAAGGGCATTGCCAGTATGATTAAAATAATTCTACCTCAGTGTCCCTAGTGGTTCATCCTCTAACACACTGTAGTATTAGAGATTCATATTTCCTGATTTTTCATGCCCTGAGGTGCAGAAAAGAGAGGCAGGATCACCTGGTCCTTATGTAGCTAGAAGAGACAACGTATTCCAACAAAGGATTGTCAGCTTTACCTGACATACTATTTTTCTAGGATTGTAAATGTTCCAAAAAGAAAGTAATATAAGCCACTTTATCATAACAGACAGAAATGATTATTTTTGCTGACCTCAAGATGTGTTGAATATCACTACTATAAGAAACAACAAACAAAACATCCACAACAACCTAGAAGAACATAAAAGTTAAAAACAAACTACTGGCCAGGTCCAGTGGCTCATTTCTGTAATCCCAGCACTTTGGGAGGTCAAGGTGGGCAGATCACTTGAGGTCAGGAGTTCAAATCCAGCCTGGCCAACATGGCGAAACCTTATCTCTACAAAAATACAAACATTAGCCGGGCATGACGGTGGGTGCCTGTAATCCCAGCTACTCAGGGGGCTGAGGTGGGAGAGTCACTTGGAGGCCAGAGAGTTGCTTGAACCCAGGAGGCGGAGGTTGCAGTGGGCAGAGATCATGCCATTGCACCCCAGCCTGAGCAACAGGGTCAGACTCCGTCTCAAAAAACAAACAACAAACAACAACAACAACAAACCAACTAATTTTTCTTCTTTCTGCAACTGCAAACAAGGTACTTCATTTTGCCTTATCAAAATAAAGATAAACACTGCAAACAGAATTGAAACTGAGTGAGAAAATTTTTGACACTGTGGTAACTAAAATTATGAAAAAATAAGAACTTAGCAAGTAAAATACCTACATAATGTATCAGAAATATCACCAACATAGGAGAGCCTAATTAAAATAATATTGCAGATTGTGCGAGTTGGTAGAATTGATTAGCTTTAAGGATTATCAGCGTGGGTTTTTGTTTCAACTTTCCAGGGAGATGTTGACAAGGCATTTGAGATTACATACCCAAGAATAATTCTCTTCTGAAAACTACATGATTGCAAAGAGAATGGACACAGCATGCTACCTCCACATTCCTAAAAGCCAGACAGGAACAGAAGAAGATACTTAAAATCAGTATTCGATAGGTGTCAGAAATGGGACAATGATACTGGGCTGACCTAAATGTTTACAAAGGAATTAAAAAGCAATTAGAAATGCAGAACCTTTCTTTCTACAAGGCAGGATACAATTCATAAGGTCAGTTGTGCTATGGTGAATGGCTGTGTCCCCTAGGTAGAAGAGAAGCCAGAGTAAATATAATTTTTATGACTTGCAAGGGGCTGCTTCTCCATGGACACCCGAATACTAAAGAGTTACTTCTTAATCCTACTCTACATTGCATCATCCCAGGATGAATATGCAATGAACTGTTACTGGAAGTCTGCTTAGAAAATCAATAAAAACACATCCAGCATTTTTACTGACAGTTTTCAGTTTGTTCTATTTCTTTAATGGAAAATACCACATTCTGAAAAGGAGAGAAGAGATGAGTTCACAGCAGGAACTTTCCAATGGTCTTCCTCTGTTTGTTTTGGTGTCTTGTCCCAGCTGTTGGTTTTCCAGCAGAGAAGGTACCCTGCAGCACGGATGCCGGTTTCACCTCAGGTAAGTGTAGAGACACAGGGTTCTCTTCTGGCTACATGAAGGTTCAAATGTGTGAACTGGTTATACCCCATGAAGATGCCCATATGACAGCCGCCCCAGCTGGCATGCATCATACATTCTGTAACTCTCTCAGCGGTTCTCTTGAGTATGTATTTTAAAACTACAGCTCATGCAATGAGTTGAATGGATAGGGGAGATTGGAGGCAGAGAAGCAAGGTATTTTAAAACTACAGCTCTTGGCCAGCATCTCATTTTTATTCAACCTCAGTGTCACTGCACTTTCAAAGAAACTTGATAGGAATGCTAAGTCAATAAATGTGCCTTCAATCCCATTCATTACGTTAATTAAATTGAGAGTAATAATTTGAAAACAAAAGTGAGTTCCGTGAGGGCAAAGACAGAATCTATTTTTTCCCTACCACTGATTGCATCATGTCCTTGAGATATATTTGTCAACCATTAAATATGCTTACAGAGAAAAAAAAACTCCAAAACTACATCTTACAAGACTTAGAGAGCTTCAGAAGTCTGTGCAAAGTGAGGCAGTTCAAAGAAAAGTGTGATAATACTTCAAAAAGGAGATAAATGTGAAATTACCTTTTAGGGGAAGAACATTAATGTGTTTCTTACGTGTCAATATAAGTTTTGCAAATATAAATTTGAAGTTATTTCAAGAATCTTGAGCTCAAAATAAAACAAACAAAACGAAAAACTCAAGCTAACTTAGAGACAGAGTTATCCCTATCCCTGAGTGTTTTCTACAGGATAAAATACAAAGAACGAAATGGATGAGACGTGAGGCAGTGGATGAGAAACAGAATAGAATTGATGGAAATGGGCGTGTGTGTGGCTGAGTTACTTAAAGTTGTATTATGCATTTTTAAAGTAGAAGTGAGCACACAAAATTAGGATTGGTAAATTATGTCCCACACAGTGACTTGAATTCATAAAAAAACAAACAAACAAACAAACAAAAAACCAAAAGCATCTTGACCAATATAAAACATCAGTATATCTCAGCTCTCACTTGTGGCAATACATGAAAGCATCACTGAATACCTATTATGTGCTAGACACAAGGTTAGGTGTTTTCACATATAACCTCATGTGTATATTTCAGTGTCATTATCAACTCCATTTAACAGAGGAAAAACTCAGTATCAGAAAAGTAAACTGACTTGTCCAGTTCCTCAGTCTAAGGGATACCACCATGGCTTGAACCCAAAATTTTCTGAATCTAAGTTTAGGGTGCTTTCCACCCAGCTATGATACAGGAGTTCGAAACTGTACACTACATTAAATCAAATGGTCTCAGCTAGCAAGTTTATTATGTAAGTGCCACGACGTGATTACTTCTCATGAGAATTCTAGCAAATATAATTTGATAAACCAATTGCAAAATCTGTTGAATGACATTTTTACCTCACCTTGTGATATCCCCCAAAAGTGAACATTCTTTCACTCAATAAATAATTACAGAGCACAGACCACGTGCCAGCATGCTAGGTGCTAGGGATACGACAGGGAACAGAGTCCCTGGTCCTATAGAGCTTGTGTGGATGGGGACGATGCAGAGGTAAAAACAACACTTACAATCAGTTTCTCAGGTCCTGTTTTTCCCATCAGTCCACTTTTATTTATGTATTTATATTTGATTATTAATTGACAAATAATTATATATATTTATGGGGTACACAATGATGTTGTTATATATATTTATATTCTGCAATGATTAAATCAAGCTTATTCACAAATCCATCACCAAGCTACATATTTTTGTTGGCGAAAATATTTAAAGTTTACTTTTTTAGCCATTTTGAAATACACAGTGAATTATTTATTATAGTCGCCATTCTGTGCAATAGATCACTAAAGCTTATTCTTCTTGTTTAACTAAAACGTGGTGCCCTTTGATGAACATCTCCCCATTCCCTGTCTCCCTTCTCAAGCCTCTAATAACTCCCATTCTACTCTCTAATTCTATGAGATTAACTCTTTTCGATTCTACATATGGATGACATCATACAGTATTTGTCTTTCTATGCCTGGCTTATAGCACCGCACATAATGTTCTTCAGATTCATCCATGTTGCTGCAAATGACTGGACTGCTTTCTTCTTAAAGGCTGAATAGTATTCCATTGTGCATATATAACACATTCTCTTTATCCATTCATCTGATGATGGACAAGTAGGTTAGCTCTGTATCTTGACTATTGTGAATAATGCTGCAATGAGTATGAGATCACAGATATCTATTTAGCATACTGATTCCAACTCCTCTGGTTCTATACCAAGTAGAGGGATTTCTGGATCATATGGTCATTCTAACATTAGCCTTCTGAGGCACCTCCATACAGTCTTCCATAATAGCTATATTAATTTATATTCCCACCAACCGTGTACAAGATTTCCCTTTTCTCCATACCCTCGCCAGCACTTCTTATCATTTATCTTTTTTTAAATAGCCATTTTACCAGGTTATATCTCACTGTGGTTTTAATATGCATTTCCCTGATGATTAGTGATGAGTGATAACTCATCTGTTGGCCATTTGTATGTTTTCTTTAGAGAAATATCTATTTAAGTCACTTGTCCATTTTTTGATTAGGTAATTTGTTTCTTATTATTGGGTTGTTTGAATTCTTTATAAATTTTGGATTATAGCCTCTTGTCTGATATATGGTTTGCAAATATTTTCTTCCAGTCTGTGGGTTGCCACTTCATTCTACTGATTGTTTCCCTAGATGTGCCGAGGCCATATTGATGCAATCATATTTATTTTTTGCTTTTATTGCCTCTGTTTTTAGGGTCATATCCAAGAAATCTTTGCCCAGACAAATGTCATAGAACTTTTCCTTTATGCTTTCTTCTAGTAGTTTTATAGTTTCAGGCCTTTCTCTTAAGTCTTTAATCAATATTGAATTAATTTTTGTATATGATGTGCGATAAGGGTCCAATTTCATTCTTCTGCATGTGGAGAACCAGTTTTCCCAAGAGCATTTATTGAAAAGATTGCCTTTCTCCATTGTGTGTTCTTGGCATCTTCATCAAAAAACAAAAAAAACAAAAAAAAACAAAAAAAACTGACTCTAAATTGGTGGGTTAATTTCTAGGATGTTTATTTTGTTCCACTAGCCAATGTATCTCTTTTTATGCCAGTACCATGCTGTTTTGATTACTACAACTTTGTAATAGATTCTGAAGTCAGATAGTGTGATGTATCCAGTTTTGTTCTTTTTGCTCAAGATTGCTTTGGCTATTTGGGGTGTTTTATGGTTCCATATGAATTTTAGGATTATATTTTCTATTTCCTTGAAAAAAATGACATTAGAATTCGGACAGAAATTGTATTGACTCTGTAGATCACTTTGGGTAGTATGGAGATTTTAATAATATTAATTGTTCCAATTCATAAACACAAGAGACCTTTGTGTTCATGTTGTTCACAATTTCTTTCATCAGTGTTTTATAGTTTTCAGTACACAGATCTTTCATCTCTTTGGTTAAATTTACTCCGGTTTGTGTGTTTTTTTTTTTTTTGGGACACATATTGTGAATAGGATTGATTTCTTAATATCTTTTTCAGCCAGCTCACTACTAAAGAAACACTATTGATTTTTGTGTGCTATTTTTGTATCCTGAAACTTTACTGAATTAATTTATCAGTTGTAACAGGTTTTTTTGGTGGAATTGTCAGGGTTTTATACATATAAGATCATGTCATCAGAAAACAGAGGTAATTTCACTTCTTCCTTTCCTATTTCAATGTTTTAAATATATTTTTATCTAATTGTTCTAGTTAGAACTTTCAGTATTATGCTGAGTAAAAATGGTAGGAGTGGCCATCATTGTTTTATTCCTGATTTTAGAGAAAAAGCTTTCATATTTTCACTGTGGAATACGATGTTAACTGTGGGTGTTTTGCGTATGGACTTTATTATGTTGAGGTACATTCCTTCTGTGGCTAGTTTGTTGAGTTTGTACCATAAAAGGACGTTGCTTTTTGTCAAATGGTTTTTCTGCATCTACAAAGATGATCTTACGGCTTTTGTCCTTCATTTTGTTAATATGTTGTAAAACATTTATTGATTTGTGTATGTTGAACTGTCCTTGTATCCCAGGAATACAAAGGATAAATCCTGCTTGATCATGATTAACAATCCCTTTAATGCACTGTTGAATTCCATTTGCTACTATTTTGTTGAGGATTTTTGCCTCTGTTTTCATCAGGGATACTGATCCATTATTTACTATTCTTATAGGTCTTGTGTGATTTTGGTGATGATGATTAATGTTGGCTTCATTAAATGAGTATGAAAGTATTCCTTCTTCAGCGTTTTGGAAGAGGTTTAAAAATATTGGCATTAGTTCTTCAAATGTTTGGTAGAATTCAGCAGCAAAGTCGTCTGGTCCTGGGCTTTCCTTTGATAGGAAATTTCTTTATTACTGATTCAGTCTCCTTACCTGTTATTTGTCTGTTCAGATGTTCTTTTTCTTCTTGAATCAATCTTGGTAGATTCTAGGAATATATTCTTTTCTTCTAGGTTATCCAATTTGTTGGTGAATAATTTGTTCATAGTAGTATTTTATGATGCTTTGTATTTCAGTGGTATTTGTTGTAACATCTCCTCTTCTGTTTCTGATTTCATTTATTTGAGTATTCGCTCTTTTTTCTTAGTCTGGCTAAAGGTTTATTGATTTTGTTTACCTTTTGAAAGAACCAAACTTGTAGCTTCACTGACCTTTACTATTGTCTGTCTAGTATCTATTACATTTATTTCTGCTCTTATCTTCATTATTTCTGTCCTTCTATTGATTTTGGGCTTAGTTTGTTCTTCTTGTTCTAGTTCCCTGAAGTATAATGTTAGGTTGTTTATTTGAGATCATTTTTCTTTTTTGATGTAGGCATTTATTTCTATAAAATTTCCCTCTCAGAATTCTTTTGTTATTTCCCACATGTTTTGGTATGTCGTGTTTCCAATTTCATTTGTCTCAAGATATTTTTTAAATTTCTTTTTAACTTTCTTATTTGACCCATTGGTTACTAAGGAGCATGTTGTTCAATTTATTTGTATTTGGGAATTCTCCAAAATTCTTCCTGTTAATGATTTCTAGTTTCATTCCATTATGGTCCAAACAGTTACCTGATATTATTTTAATCTTCTTAAATTTGTTGAAACTTGTTTTGTGGCCTAACATATGATCTATCCAGGAGAATATTTCATGTGTGCTAGAGAAGAAAGTGTAATCTGCTGCTATTAAATGGAGTATTCTATAAATATCTGTTAGGTCCATTTGATCTAAAATGTTATTAAAATCCACTGTTTCCCTAATGATTTTCTGCCTGGACAATCTATCCATTGCTAAAAGTGGAGTGCTGAAGTCCCCTACTATTATTGTATTGCATTCTACAGCACCCTTTAGATGTATCAAAAATAACTTTATATATTTACGTGATTTGATGTTAGGTGCATATATATTTACAATTGTTATATATTCTTCAATTGATCCCTTTATCATAATATAATAACCTTCTTTGTCTCTTTTTAAAGCTTTTTTTGTTAGGTCCTATGTTAGGGGAAGCAATGAGTGCCCAGGGCCTCAGAGAGCTCCAGACTCAGACTCAGGAGATCAGAGAATCATCCTGGGGGAAAACATTCAAAGCTAAAGTCTAAAGAACTGAAAAAGGTAAGAGAAAATGTTGAGGCTGGAGAAGAAACATGAGTGTGTAAGTCACATGTAGAAACTTATACTTTACACTGCAATCCTAATTGTTCAGCCATTCCAGTGTTTCAAGAAGGAAAATAACATGCACAGATCTTTTATTTTCAGGAATATCCTTCTGAATGCAATGAGGTGAATGGATCAGGGAGATTGGAGGCAGAGAAGCAAGGTAAGAGGCTATTGCAGTAGTTACAGTGAAAGAGGATGATGGTACAAAATAGAAAGCCAGGAACAAAAGAAAGTGATGGGAAGTAAAACTGAGCAGGTTCATGACTGACTGAATAGGCCTGATCATGGTGGTGGGGATTTGACTGAGTGGGTAGTAGGGCCACTCACAGAAGAAAGAACCATTTAGGAAGAAAAATGATGAATTAAGTTTTGGATGAGATGAGTTTGTGTATCGGCCATAAAGTTTAGGAAAATGGTCTGAGCTGCATATAAATTATTGTTTTTCAAGAAAATTTTTGAACAGCAGTAAGCATTGAACTTTCTTTTGACTTCCTCAAAACATAAGTAATTTTCCCAAGGATTAATTCATTGAATTCATAAATTATCCAATTTTTGATCAAAAAATATCACACTAGAAGGCAAAAAAGCATATTTGTTTGTGTTTTTGAAGAGCCACACTGCAACTGCCCACTACTGTAATGACTTAAAATTATTTGAAGTGCAGCCATTTTCCCTTTGATAAAGAGAAGTTTGAGGAAGTCGTGGACCATGATCATACTGGAATCTTTAAACTAAAACCCTCGAGTAAAAGCATAATTAAGGAGAAATGAAACCTACTTGTCTCGGATGCTGATGCCAAAGACAGCCCATAAATGTAGACTATATAAAGCCAGCATAATGGAAAATATGCTGGAGTCATGGAATGGTATGGCAATTCCTTGCAGCGAACAGATGGTGGCTATGAAAACTGTGAAATTTAATGAGCCTGGAGTAGCCTTTTAAGTGAGGCAGGCTCAAGAGAGTGATAACCAGATGCCAATCACTGGCCCCACATTGATACTTTGCTTCTTACTTTAACAGCTTGCACAGATGAACAGCACATTCTCAAGGTGCTTGGCAAGAAAGACCTTGGCTGAATGGTAAGTACCCAGGACTTTCAGAAACTTTGCTTTCACTTTAAACTATTCATTTGAGTTCCTGAAGGAAACTCTTCTTTTGACTGCCAGCCAAAATCCAGGATTCTATAGCTGCCTTCCTTTGAGAAATACTATTATGTTCTTGCCTAGTTTTTAGGTGGGGCAGGAAAAAGGTTCCTTCTCCAAAGTAGAGTAGATATAACATACGTTATAAGCAATGCTAGTGACTATTTCTCCCACTGTTGTGACCAATTAGATCCTGCAGAAAGATTTAGTGAAAAGTAGAAACTGTTGGCTTCACTGTATGTTGGAAGTATTTGCTGTCATATGGAATATTAATTCCATTTATATTACAATTTCTTAAATGCTTCTCACTTTACACTCTCACATCAAAGTAAAGTACAAATACACCCACATGCACACACACACAGACACACACGAGCACATCAATTTTCAAATGTAAAGAATTAAAACCATAAGGGAGCTCGTTCAAAGTTTATTGAGGTCATTATTTCCTCTTAAGAAAAGTTTTTTCATTGTATTTTTTTAAACTAAAGCTACAAATGGGTCTTTCGTGACTTACAAAAAGAACAGCAAGGTTGAAATTCAGAGATTTATGTAAGGCATGAACCTGCATGAAAAATGCAGCCAACTGCAGCTACCATCTTGACCACCGCATAGTCTATTGCAACACATTTTCGAAGGTTCTACTCCAGGGTCAAACGGATTTGCCAGTAGTGGATGAAAGTAATTTGTATGCTTGACAGTGAACTGTTGCTGTAAACGTATACCCCCAAGTAAAACATTTCATAAGTATGGAAATAGTGTAATTTATACTTCTTTATGTAATCCCAGGAAAGTCAGGTGATTCACCAACAACCTTTCTACTTCTAACACAATTGCTGTTGAAAGGCAACAAGCATACAGAACTATGTTTTAAGCCACAGGCACACACAAAAAAAGGAAAAAAACAAAAACAAAAACAAAAAACAAGCAAAAAAAAAAAAAAAAACCCAACCAACCAAACAGAACTAAATTGTCAAAATGAGCACAATAGGAGCTGGCATACGGTAGAATCCAAGATTCTATCCATTCATTTACCTAATGCTTAATCTACACCAGGCACTGTTCTAGGTGATGAAAGCACAAAAACTAAACAGTCACTCTCTTCAAAGCCCTCACAGTCTAGTCAGGAAGACAGATGACAGGCAATTCCAATACAAATTGCCAAATATGTGACAAGAGGGGCGGTATTTCAGTGGGATTAGAGGAGTCAAAGGAAGCCACTCAGAGGAGGTAACACATGTGTTGAAATTTGAAGGATGTGCAGGAGCTAGCCAAGAACTTAAAATAATCACTTTTTGAAAACCATTCTAATTTTTATATATGCAAAAACTGGGAATATAACAACAGCTTCCATATCCTGGATGAAGTCAGAGGCACCATGACTTCTTCATTATGCTGAGTTGTTTTTACAAAGTGTGATGATGCTTGGGCTGGATTTGAAAATACTCAGAATTTTCCACCCCTGATCCTCTGGTCCCTCAGAGACAGATAATTAAAAAAAAAGAGCAAGTTTCTATTTTGAGGACATAGCATATGCCTGCTGAAGACTCCGTTCTGGATATTAAGCTGTAATCCCCCTCCATTAAATAATCAAATGGCTAAGGTTTCATGACAGCAAGCCAGCAGGAAAATCACTGTGTTCATACCAAGTGTGATTTGGCCGATCCACTCATATGAGGTTCATTAATACCCACAAACCTCTCTATAGGTTTTTTCTAACTCCATAGGAACTGATTATAACCAAATTTTAAAATATATGTCATTATTATATTAGTCTGTTCTCACACTGCTATGAAAAAGTACTCAAGACTGGGTAATTTGTAAAGGAAGAGGTTTAATTGGTTCACAGTTCTGCAGAGATAGGGAGGCCTCAGGAAACTTACAAAAATGGCAGAAAGGAAAGCAAATATGTTCCTCTTCTCATTGGAGCAGGAAGGAGAAGTGCCGAGCAAAAAGGGAAAAAATCTCCTAATAAAACCATTAGCTCTCATGAGATCTCACTTACTATCATGAGAACAGCATGGGAGTAACTGCCCCCATGATTAAATTATCTCCACCTGGTCTTGCCCTTGACATGTGGGGCTTATCACAAGGTGAGATTTGGGTGGGGACACACAGCCAAACCATATTACTCTTAAATAATTCAATTTCTTAGTATAAAATCATTACAAGAATGATAGGCTTATGAAAAGCCTGAAAGGATTATATATGATGTAGCAGATACAGATAAGGAAGGGAGAGGATGGGGGGAATGTGAAGTTTATACTCAGATGTCCTTCTTATGTGAAATTGAGGCCACTGACTTCCCTCCATTGCAGCTTATACAATTCTCTTTACCCCCATAGCCCCACCAAAGGCCCCCAATGCCCATCCCTTTGGAGGATCGCCATGCTTTTCTAACTGGTCACTGGTCTCCCTGCCTCCTTTCATACCCCTCTGCCCTGCCCATTACCAATCTTCCATGAAGTCGCCATTGAGAGAGATCTAACATGCTTCCCCCCATAGGATGATGTCTATATTCCCCAGCATGGCAAATAAGACCTTCCTTAGCCCATCCATAGCCTGCATCCATCTTCCCTCCAAGATGTGACCTCACACAAGAAGCTCTGTGGTGCTCTCCCACCTGCTGGGCCCCACGGTGCTCTGTCCTGTCATCTTGGCCTCTGATCATGCTATGCCAGCTAATGGAGCAGCCTTGCGCATTGTGTGCAATGGGGCAGGGCGAGGTCTCTCTATTCATCCTTTAGAGCAAAAGTCAGTTCCAAAGCTTTCCTTGAAATCTCCAAGGGGTCTCCGTTCTCTATGCTCATGTAACTTCCAGGGCCACAGTCTGCCCCTGTCTGCACTCAGTACCTTCTATGGACAGTCTCTATCTAGCTGCTTTTCTCTCACATTTGACTGGAAAACTTGGATGCCAGGGTTTGGACTTCGGTCAGCTGTGAAGCTGCCAACTGCAATGAGCTCCATTTAACGAACAATTGTAGAACAAAACTACCCACTGCCCTGGCATTGAGAGGGGAGCTGTGCTCGAGGGGACTTCTGGGGTGGACTCAGTGTGACTCAGGGAGGCCTGGTGTGTTGGGAAAGTCTCCACAGTGCCAGACACTTGCTGGCTTTCAGGCTTCTCTTTTATGCTTGGCTTGTGAGGTTTGTCTCTACCTCCCACTTTTATTTGTCAGGTTGTCTCTTGGCAAAACCCAAAATGTCTTACAAAAGTGGACTGTGCAGGTGTAATGAATACCGCAGTCTGTCTTCAACAAAAAAGGATTTCTTTCCTCTGGGAAACAAGCACACCTTATGAAAATTGACAAGTAATTCAATCAGGGTGTCAAGGTTCCTCTCCACTACGTTATTTTGTCAGTTACAGGTATTTGGATAGAGTGAGTACATTCATTGCCCTTCCATTTGCGGGGAAAGGTTAGTAGCAGAGCCTTCTGACTGCCTTGAGGTTAAAAGTGAGTTTGGAACTGAAGACTGTGCTAGTCCCCATGTTGTCAGCATGGAGCGGATGAGAGCAATTATGTTCCACAGACGCAGGAACTTCTTCTAATGGTGAAGCAGCTGACAGAGTTCAGATTGTAGAAAGCAAGGGTATCCAATTTTCTCCTCACAACCCTGTAGGTAAGAATGAGTGTCTGTTTTGTAGATGAAGAGAAACACACCCACAGAGGTTAAGTCACCTGCCCACAGAGGGTCCGCTATTTTTAGTAAAAACTGGCATTTCCAACCCAGGACCAACCACTGACCACTGGGTGTAAACACTTCCCACAATGTGGTGCAGGCAGTCCTTTGCCCAATCCCTCTCTCTCTCTCAGAGTGCCTACGAATTCTGCCCTGCGGCCCAGTGTCTTCTGTCCTTTCTCTCTTTAAGGAAGAATATCTTTCTTTTCTTAACCATCTCTACCTCCAGTTTGAAGAAGAGTTTTTAAAATTTTATCTCTCCTCAATAATAATAATAATCAAAATTTCTTTCCTTTCTTTAATGAGGTTTTTTTCTTTGTGTGAGATGAGGGAGCAAGTAGGGTCAATGATTATCAGGTCAATTTGTAATAAACTCAGCTGAGGACATTAAAAAATATCACTCCCAAGGCTTAGTGAGTTTTAGGTTCCAAGATTTGAACCTTAGACAGTAAGGCAGAGAGACGCCAGGCACAGTGGAAGGTATGCCTGTTCTGTTGGTGTGAGGTTGACGGCTGGAGATGAGTCACAGGGCCAGAACTTACCATCTATGGGACTTCAGGCAATGGAGAAAACAGTCCTACCACACTGCAAGGACCACAGTTGATAAGCACAAAGCAAATACAACAAGAAGGTATTTGGTGGCTATTTCTCCAAGGCACAATGTATACATTTTAGACTTAGTTGAGCAATATTTAATAACTTAGCCAACATATATTGAGAAATACCCCATATGTTAAGGCTTCTGTTAGAGCAGCGGAGGAGAGGATACAGAATTCAGTAAGATGCTGGTTTTGTACTCTTGGGCGTCAACACCTGAATGGGAAAAGTAGGTACATGTACAAACAGGTGTAATCCAATCAGCCTGTATGACAAGCTAGCAGAGAAGTGCTAAGCACTAAGATATCATTACCTCTTTATCAAAGAAACACTATTTTCCTTTAAATGTGTACTTTCTTAAAAAGTCCTCTATTATTCAAATTGACTTTTCAAGACCCACATTTCACACACAAGCACAAATCAACAGGTTGACAAAACAAGTCAAGAGGGGGAAGAAAATAGAAGACAGAAAGCATTTATATCTGAACATCTGCATAGTATTTTACTTTTAGAAGCATTTATTGGTCACCTGCTAGGAGTCAGACCAGTGCTTGCTTTGAAGAAAACAAGCCAAAGAAGCCAGCCCTGCTCTCAGTTAGATAGGATTTGCTGGAGACCACAATATGCAGAGAGCTTTAGATATGCACGATAATCTTTTC